TTTTTTTTTTTTTAATTTTTTCGCCGACGTGAATTTGGGTTGTGTTTTAATCTGTTAGCTGTGGCCATTTCTTTGCAGTGTATGCGTCAGTGAGTGTGCTTTATGGGTTTTGCTTAACGAACGAGATTGATCGAGAATTGCTATGATTTTAGGGGTTTATGTGTGCTTATGTAGATGATGCCTGATGGTTAGGGCATGTTGGATGGAGTAGAATTGCTCTGAATTTAGGCGTGTGTTTATTTGCTAGTTTACTTTCAACGAGTTCTCGAGTGAGGTGGAATAAATGTTAGGCGGGTCGACTCATTATACTTGTTTTGAGAGTGTGACATTTTGGTTTGAAAGTATGCATATATGTTGAAAAAGTATGACACCTTGCTGTTTTTGTTATACATGAGGGTGTGTAATATCATGCTTATTGTGCTGATAGTTCGTTGTATAGTTATCTGAAGTTTTAACTTTTGAGATTATAATTTATAAGTGGTTTTTGCTTTTACTGTTAGTTTATCAGTAGTCGATGAATTATATAATGGGCATTGAACTACCCTTGCTCTATTATGCCGTGTGTCTCTGTATATTTTGTGCTACATTTGATATTTCACCCACTTAAACATTTCCCGACATTTTTTTCAGATTGATCGCCTATGAAAGGTTATATCTCTTTATATAATCTGTGTGCATTACTGAAATGGTGAATAATCTGTCTATGAAAAAATGAAAATCCGCTTTACACAGTTGAAGTAGAAGTCTTTTGGTATTTACGGGCACTATCACTTGTCCCTTTTGTTATGATAACTTTCGCGGCCTAATCTTGATAGTGAATGTATTAGCTGTCTTTTCCCCTGTTCCTGTAAAAGCCAACGCCGTATAAGACTAGACAAGAAGATTGAAGTTAGCTAAGAATCATTTTGCTCTGCTCCCAACATGTTACCTTATTAAATTTGTCCTAAATTTTTCATTAAATTACACCTTTTTTTTCTTGTACATGTAACCGAAGACGGGTGCTCTATGTCTTCTTTCTTTTCAGAAATCGAGGATTAAGTTCAAGAACCATCCGGATTTCATGTGCAAAGCCAGAGATAGAAAGATTTTACTCGGAAAATCACAGTGAGAGAAACATCCGGGTCCGGCCTTCAAAAACACTAACACCCACACTGTTAAATCATGAAAATTCATATTACACCTCATCTAGTTCTACAAACCCACCCATGAAAATTCACGCTTTTTGCTCGGGGACTGAGGCCAAGAGCAAGGACCAAGAAGATGACTCGGAAGAAGATGCCTTTTCCGAACTCGAGAGCCCCTCTCAGAAAGCACCTTCTTTGGAAGAAAGCGATGATGACTTGTTGTCCGAGTTGGACCTCTCAGAAGGCGGAACCATCGATGATGATGATATGCCGAACGAGCTAGAGATATATGAATCAGAGACCAATGCCACTGGGAAGATTAAATCGAGCCGGAAGATTCCTAATTCGGCAATGGCTGAGGCTATAATAGCATCCCCTCATTTGCCCATTCACGAGGCTGTGGAGAAATGGATCAAAGAAGGAAATGAGGTGACCCAGGACCAAATATCGTTAACCATGGGCTGTTTCCGTAAGAGCCGAATGTTCAAGAAAGCCTTGCAGGTGTGTAATCCTTGTTTTTTTTTTTTATTATGTCTTTGCATAGCTTTTTCTATTATGTCTTACGCATGCTAAGATACAGTATAAGAAGAAGTTGTTATGATTCATGATTGCTGAAGGAAGAAAGGGATGATTTTAGTCTACAAAATACCCATGGGGTTTGAAGTAAAATTTCGAACCAAGTATCTCATAGTAAGAGCAGAACTATTGATGAATATTAAACAAGTATATACAGTGCCGCGTTGAGAGTACAATTAGATATACTTTCACTTTGAAAAAATTTCCTTTCCTTTTTTCTTCTGGAGAATAGCGATGAGCAATTTCGAAAGCAAGAACGTTTAATTTTTTTTATTTATTTATTTTTTTTGGAAATTTGTTGAGAATGTGTATTGAAGTTGATGATATATAAATATAGCAGAACAATACTCTGACTGTTAGTTCAACATATCAAACATATGAGTGAGTGAGTGGATGAATTAGTGAATTTTGTAGGGAAACGGGCATTGTAAAGATTGGTTTAATTTTAAAATTTCTTCGGTAAGATTGAGGAGAGAAAATGCATCATGATTGAACAGTGTAAAATTTTTTGGAACTTTTCCTTGAAATCACTATTTCCGATTAAAACAAAAAAGAGGTGCGGTAAGTGTTTAAAAAAAAATCAACTTTATATCCGATCCCTCCCTAAATTCCCAAGTGTCTTTTTGGAACTATCCGAATCTGACTCTCACTTCCTCACTCCCTATTTTCGGCAGTTTTCAGAGTGGCTGGAGTCCACGGGCCGCTTCATCCCCAGCGTGAGGAACTACGCATCCCGTGTCGACCTAATAGCCAAAGTGCGTGGCGTTCACAAGGCAGAAGAGTACATCCAATACGTGCCCGACTCCTACAGGGGCGAAAGCGTATATTGCACCCTCCTTGCCAACTTTGTGGCTGCCCGCGATGTGAAGAAGTCCGAAGACCTCTTCCACAAGATGAAAAATCTATTCCCCCTCACGCCCTTCTCGTGCAACCTGCTACTCCTCCTCTACCAGAGGGTCAACAAGAATAACATTACCCAAGTGCTAACAGTAATGGAAAACGAAAACGTGAAGCCGAACCATTTCACTTACCACATACTGATCGACACCAAGGGCCAGCTGGGCGACATCCCGGGCATGGAGCAAGTGGCTGAGTTGATGAAAAAATCATCTGATAGGCCGCGTGGGCCCCACTTGAAGACCCAGCTGACCCTGGCCCGCCACTACGCGTCTAACAAGCTCCCGGACAAATCGGAGGCTATACTGAAGGAAATCGAGGGGGGAGATCTCATAAAAAACCGCTGGACTGCCAGGTTTCTGCTCCCGGCCTACGGGCTCCTCGGGAAGGCGGATGAGGTCCGTAGGGTCTGGCGGGTCTGTGGGCCCGACCCATTTTTCGCAGAGTCTCTGGCGGCAATTTATGCCTTTGGTCTGGTCGGGCTTGTCGAGGAGGCTGAGGGGGCTTTTCGTAAATTGGAGGAGGGAATGAAAAAGCCCTCCTTGAAGCATTTTATTGCGTTGTTGAAAGTGTACACGGACCATAAAATGGTGGACAAGGGAAAAGATTTAGTCGAGAGGATGGCTGAGAGTAAGTGCTATGTTGGGCCTCGCACGTGGGATGCGCTCGTGAGACTGTACGTGGGGTCCAGTGAGGTCGAGAGGGCCGACTCGATTTTGGAGAAGGCCGGCAGGCTGAGGAAAAAGCAGAAGAAGCCATTGCCGGGATCCTACCTGGCAGTCCTGGACGTGTATGCCAGCAGAGGAGATGTGCCGAATGCCGAGAAGATTTTTAGGTGGATGAAGCAGGCTGGGTACCCGGCTGCAGTGAAGTCGTATAAGTCGCTTTTGTACGCTTATATAAATGGAAAAGTACCCGCTTATGGGTTTCACGAGAGATTGAAAGGGGACAATGTGGTCCCGAGTAAGGCGTTGAGCAGTCTTGTGGCCCGGTCGGACTTGTTGAGGAAGTCGCCGTTGGAAGAGCTTTTGGATTAAGGAAGAGAAGTGGGCCAGTTTTTATTTTTTGGAACAAATTATGATGACTGTTCACCGAACAAAGTTTTGAAATCCCGATGGTGTGGAGATGTTTGCGCTCATTTATTGAGAGTTCGTTGCGGAAACTATCCTCGACATTTTAGCTCAGTTTCAATCGAGTCCCTTGTCTTACGGCGCGCTTAGTGTATGGTTATGAATGCAAACGGGTTGAGTTGGGTTCAGTATTGGCCTTATCGAGCCATGTTCAATATTTTTTGCGCTTTTTCGAGCTCGACGAACCCATCTTGCTAGCGGCATTGCAAGGCTCGACTCGACAAAAAAAATCACAAACGCTTGAAATCAATTTGAATTTCACTCGATTTTGACTAAAAATATTCAAATAGAAATGTCTAGCTAGGGGTATTTAGGTAACTTTAAGTATATTCAAGAGGCTTGTCGAGCATTACTACAGTTTGAATTCAAAATGTGCGAGTTCAGTCAAACTCTCTACTTGAGTTCTCACGAGCTATTCAATCAAAATGTTTGAGTTAAGTCGAACTCCGTACTAAAGTTCTCACGAGCTATTCGACTCGTTTGCAACTCTACCTATGTATGGTAATGCGAGTTATTTATGAACTTTTGCAGGAGTGCAAAAAAACTCATGACGCCAAAGCCAAAAGCAAACAGTATAATAATTAAGTCAAAAGCTCATTCATCTTCAATGGCTCGCATGCCCCATATCTCTATACTAGTGAATGTTGTCTCTTCTTTTGACCGTTTTGTTGGATGCTACTCTTTTTTCCTCTTTTAATCTTCGTTTCCTTGCTTTCCGTCGAGTAATAATACTTCCTTCATCCACGTTTTTGTGTAAGATTAGAGAATCGGGGCAAGAGGGTGCGGTCCCACGCATATTAAGCGCACCATAAGAGGGTGAGCCTAGGTGCACCATAGTGAGGTTCCATCCCAAAACCAATTGGTGATGGGAGGAGTAGCCCACTTGGCTTATATGATAGACTCATTTTCCCTATAGAATCAATGTGGGACAACTCACAAGTGATACTCCAACATTTTGTCAATATACTCTAATTGTACACCGACAAGTGAATTTGAGCTAAATCCAACAAAATCAATGGGGCGTTTGGTTATTGACGTTTTCTGAAAAAAATAAAAAAAAATAGTTTTTTAACATTTCAGCTTATTTGACTTTTTCAAACAACCAAACTTTTGTTTGGTAAGTGACTTCTGCAATTGGCGTTTTGGACCTTTTGGTGCTCAATCGTTAAAAATTGAAACGCTACATATTGCAACGTTTCCAAACAAAATAAAAGTTCACATTTTCCTTAAATGCCTCCATTTTCCTTTTTTTTTTTTAAAGCTGGGACAAGAAGAAGTAAAAGTATGTTATTTTTCGTTAAAATAAACCTGAAATTAATTTAGTATCTGAAAAAAAAAAAAATAATTCAAATATATGGTATAAAAACGAGTTGAATGTATTTTTTTTTTCAACAAAAAAATAATAATAAAATTGCGCTATTTTGAAAATACAACGGACGCCAACAAACGATGTCAAACAATATAGAATACAAGTATGTTATTTTCGTTAAAATAAACTGAAATTTATTTAGTATCCAAAAAATAATTTAATTGTATAAGAACGAGTTAGATGTGTTGTCAGGAAAAAAAACAAGTAAAACCAAACTATTTTGAAAGTAGGACGGGCGCTCGAACAAGATAGAAGTAAAATTATATTACTTATGTTAAAATAAAACTGAAATTTATTTAGTATCCGAAAAAGAAAATTAATTGTATCGTATAAGAACGAGGCAGATGTGTTGATGAAAAAAAAAGTGAAATTGAGCTATTTTGAAAGTAGAACGGGCACCAACAAACATTACTCGAACAAGATAGAAGTAAAAGTATATTAGTTCATTAAAATAAAAAAAATTAAATTAATTTAGTATCCAAAATTTTGTTAATTAAATTGTATGGTATAATAACGGATTAGATGTATTGTCGGAAAAAAAAAAAATGAAACAGAGCTTTGTGGAAAGTAGATATTTGTGTTTTACTTTATAAATCGATATAAAAATAATTTTCAAGTATGTTGATGTCCTTATAAATATTTTACATGTTAGCAGGTAATTAAAAATAGCTAATTTTACCAAACACTCTTTTATAAACAATCAGCTGTTAATTTTACCAAACACTCTTTTATAAACTTTCAACACAACCTGTTGGTCAAAACAGCTAGTGCAATCCGCTAACAACTAACAACTAATCAATGATTACCAAACAAGGCAAGGCATGTTTTTTAAAAGTGAATATTATTCACAATACTAATTTTGATTTCTCTTCTTATGTGTATCTCATTTCTCCATGTTAGATAACAAGTTTGAAATTCATATCATTGGAGTTGGACATATGATTTTTTTTACTTGTTGAGCTTGTGAATTTTGCTCATGATAATTAATTAATTAATTAATTAATTAATTAATTAATTTAAAAACTAGTATATTTTTCCCTCTATGAAGGATACCTTCCTTCACGCAAACACTATATACACATTCCCTTTGCCTTTTTTTCCCCTTTTTTCACAGGTCAACAAAATACTTGCGCCATTAACAGAGCTAACCAAAAGCTTCACGAGCTTCTCTTTTGGCTGCTTACTGGTTTCTATTCTGATCGAAGAAAATTCGAAGTGAAAATTATTGTGTAATTTGCCTTTTAACAGCTGATTTACCTTTTTTTTTTTTTTTTTTTTTTTTTTTTTTTTTTTTGGGTACTGTTTGATAGACTGGTCTGTTGTGAATCTCATATTTCGGAATTCCCGTTAATTGGGCTGTGGAGTTTTCGATTTTTTCGTTGATTTTTCCCTTTTCTGTGGGCTTATTTTTTCTGGGATTATTTTTGTTCATATGAATTCACTCACTCGTTCTGCCAAACATTCGTGGTGATTCTGTTGTCGGTGCCAGTTTGTGTGTGTGTTGTTAGGAGAACTCAGTTTCTGTATTGGGTAATCTTAAATCCCCTGTTTTTTCTTTTAATTTGGAAATGGTGAACCTCAGCAATAGTAACACTAGCAACCGGGTGGAAGAAAATGAGAACCCGCTGGCCGCCGGTAGAGGCGGTGGAGCCACCGGGTCGTGGGGCCACACTGGTTCCGGCCAGTCCATTTCGACTAGCGGCAGTGTCGGGTCTCCATCCAGCCGGAGTGAGGCCACAGTGGCGGCTCCAGCTGGCGACAGCACGTTTCTCTTGTTGAACAATCTCGATATCCAAGGGGATGATGCTGGATTTCAGGGGACTCCTAGGTGAGCCTCCGTGTTGTTATTTCCATTTTCTTTTGTCGTGTTCGTTTGAATCATTTGTTGTTGATGTTTATGTGATTTGATGTCATGTGGGAGGTGAAATGGCTTTAGTTTTATACATTACTTTTGCAGAATTCCTAGTGGATTGTTTTGATAAGGAGTGGTGTTAATTGAGTGTTAGCTAGGGAGATGTTTGCAAAGTCTTGGTGGAGTGTTTATTTTGTGATTTTTTGTTCTTTGTTATATGATGATTCTTCTTTAGTTTGTGGGTGATGTAGGTGTTTGGGATATAGACTTCTTGTAGTCTGATGAAAGTCATCCTTATATTCGGTTATTGAAATTCAGAGAGATTCTTATTGTGACAATTGTCTCGTCACCTCTTCATTTAAATTATCAATTTGTTTCTTCAGCAGCAGGAGGAAGAAGAGAGGACAACGAGCAGTTGGAGGTGATAAGAATGGTCGGGGGCTTCGTCAGTTTAGCATGAAAGGTACCTTTTATTTTATACTCTCTCTTATTTATCGTCCTTATCTCTTTAATATGGAAGCGTGTTCTATTGGAAGTCATGGCTAGTGTGGTAGGAAAATCCAAAATATTCTGGTTAAGGTATGTTTTCTCAAGATGGTTTCCAGTTCTTTATTATATTCAGAGGTTGAACCAAATTGCTTGAGAAACCTCTCAACTTGTGCAGTATCTTATTTGTCAGAACTAGATCAAGAGGAATAAATAACTTCTCTCATTTTACTTTCTAAAATGTTCCCGTTGATTTTTCTGCTAATGTATGAACTGTAAACTAACGAACCATGAAAACTGCAATACTGATCAACTTATTGTTATTTGCGTGCGCAGTGTGTGAGAAAGTGGAAAGCAAAGGGAGAACTACATATAATGAGGTTAGATCTTTATTTTTGAATTTGGCTACATGTAGTAGACATTCGTTTTCCAAAGGTTGCGATTTTTCTGAATCACTGTAGGTCGTTAAAGGCCATTAATATGGCCACATGGATACCCTATAATTGTAGAGTGTGAAGGCTATATGTGTTATGCATCTGTATTGAACCTTGGACTGCGTTTTCTTTAGCTGTCAGTTAGTTGCTTCATTCCCCAAAAAATGCGCGTGTCATTTTGTTCGTGATCTATGTTTTTGAGGAAAGTCTTTTAAAAGTTATTCCTGCTTTTTGGCCACTACCCAGGGATTGTCATATATCATCTTCTGCATGACTTATTTTTTGGCTAGCTTAACGTTTAAAACCACAAAGACTCGTTTGAACATCTTTTATCAGGGTTTTTACTTCTTGGTTTCTTTTTCTCCTTTTTCTTTATTTCTTTCCGTTAATATGATTTGTGGATTATATGTCTTATACTTTCAATTGTTTTGCACTTTCATCTCAACTGTCTTCCATTTGGAGTTATTTGAAATTTATCATTTTTCTCACACTCATGTGGAGAACACCTTTGTCATAGTTAAAGTGCTTGGTAATGGCATAAATCATGTCTTTCAGGTGGCTGATGCACTGGTTGCCGAATTCACTGAACCTTGCAACGACCTTTCATCACCCGACCAGGTTTTTTTGTAGCTCCTGTTATCGCAATATATTCCATTCATGCAGTTGCTGCGAGATCTTAATATTTAAGTTGCAATTTTATTTTTTCTAATAAATACAACAGCAACAATATGATGAGAAAAACATACGTCGAAGAGTATATGATGCTCTAAACGTGCTAATGGCTATGGATATTATCTCTAAAGATAAAAAGGAGATACAGTGGAAAGGTCTACCACGGACTAGTTTGGATGACATTGATGAATTCAAGGTTAGATATATGTTACCTTATTTTCTTTTGGCCTTTTTTCTCCTTTTAAAGCTTTTGATTCCGTCAAGAAGTATTTCTCAATATTCAAAATAGGTTTATCCACATCATTTAGTCCTTGGTTTGTATGCACTTGCTTGCAGGCCGAACGTCTTGGACTTCGAAATCGCATTGAGAAGAAAGCAGCTTATCTGGAAGAGCTTGAGGAACAAGTAAGAACTACTAATGATTTTTCGTTTCTCAGGAAGTTGGTTTAGGTTTAATTACAAAACCTACCCTTGAGATCTGGCCTAAATAAAACAAAAATCATGAATTATCTTCGAAGAAAAGTATATTTGGTTCATTTGTAATTATCTTCCAACCGATGTTTTTGCTGCAGTACATTGGTCTTCAAAAACTCGTACTGCGCAATAAGCAACTGTATGGCTCGGGAAATGCTCCGAATGGTGGAGTTGCATTGCCTTTCATATTGGTCAAGGTACAGTTGGAGTGGTTGTTTTTGTTCATTTATATCATTGCATGCTGCATAATTTGCCAGTGACTTGTACAACCCATTTTTTCGAATTGAGGTTTCTGAATCATTTCTCATGCTTGTGGTTGATTTTTTTTTTTTTTTTTTTTTCTTTTTTAATGTCACTGTTAGACCCGCCCTCATGCTACGGTGGAGGTGGAAATATCAGAAGACATGCAGCTGGTGCATTTTGATTTTAGTAGGTAAGGGTTTAGAAAAATTACCTGTATTCGATTGTGAAAATCACATATCATCGACTATCCAAGAATTTTCAATTTTTTTAATTGTTCGTTCAATAACCAACATAATACAAATATCAAGGGGGGAAATTGGTGAACAAATACAATATCAAGGTTTTCTGTATTTTTAAATTGCTCTTTTTTTGGTGATATTTGTTTCATATCTCTGACACACTTGCTGTATTTATCGTAACTGCAGCACCCCTTTTGAGCTGCACGATGATAATTACGTTCTGAAGGCAATGAAGTTGTGTGGAAAACCACAAAATAACGGTGCGCCACAATATATTCAGACCAGTAGAGGCGAGAGCTCGAGCATGGTCGACATGTATCAATCCCAAATGGCTCATAAATCCAGGTCAAATTCAATCAGTAGGCCACCCCACTCTACCCCTCTACCCGGAATATTAAAGGCACGTGTTAAGCACGAGCAATAGGTCAAACGAGCCATGCTTAAATTATTTGACAGTAATGTTGTCATTTATCACATTTTGCATATCGTGTAGAGATATATGGAAGCATAAGCAGGTCCGGATGAGTTTGTAGCTCTCACAGAATTTTTGAATGGCTGATGACGAGGAACGATGACGAGGACCGTAATAGGTTTTCTGATCTTACTTTTGTTTAGATGATAGATTTAGGTTATTCATGCATTCAACATTGTTGAGTACTTGAGCTGATATTAACAATTGGTGAAAATGGTTGAAGGACCTCTCTCTAGGATATAAAAGCCAAAAGATCCTCATAGAAAATGAAGAAAATTTGAACCCCTAAATCCAAAAGGACTTTGTATAATACCCTTAATTTCCCTTTTCCTCTAAAGAAAGGATAATGTCTACAAACAAATCAGGCATCAAAAAAAGAGAAAATTCAAACAAGTTCTAGATTTTTTTTTTTTATTTAAAAAAAAAAAATATTGAAAATTCAAACAAAATTGAAATAAAAACTAAAAAAAAAGTCAAAGAAATTGATTGGACGACGAATTAGAGAAACCCTTTGTTGACAATGTGTGGGCCATGCCATCAGCAAACCAACTTGAAAAGCCTTTCTCGAGAGCCTCACGCATCCATGCATGCCTGCAACATCCAATGGCTTCAGATATCGTGAGCCAACTTCTTTCCCGGTGGCTTTTTTCGGGCCAGCACTCGAGCTCCTCCTTCACATGCAGTCCGTACATGGCAGCTTTGCACAAGCCTTCCGGGCTGTACTCATCCAGTAGTGTTTTGCTCTTGAAAGGATAGGAACCCAGAAAATGCTGAAAATGGAGAGCAATAAATATTTCAGGTACTATATACTAATCTTTTCTCCATAATCAACAAAAAAATATAGAGCTTCTTAACCACTGTACAACTCACATTGACAGAGTACAGTATAGTAAAATAAGTCAGACACCAAAAACTAAATGCACATTCGTATCGACCAGTTTAGGCCTTGAAAATGAAAATGTAACGAAGGCTATACTATTATTACCACTAAATCTCCTCGAACGCCAGCCTCTTCCATGGCTTCTCTTTCTGCTGCCTCCTCAGCTGTTTCATCATTTTCCCATCCGCCCTATTCAGAAAGCAAATATCGATAACAATTATAATGAGCAATTAAAAAAAAAATCTGCCACGTTTATGGAGGATACCCAAGGGAAAAGGAAAAGAGAAATGCAGAACTAAAGGCATAATATCCGGTAGCTTATGACGATCTTTTATTTCAAAAATAGAATCCAAAGATGTAAAGAGACAAGCATCATATAGAAGCTTCAATACTGTGTAGGATTACAATGCACATACATACTTCACTGTTGCAAGAAAGCTCAAAAAACCGATATACAAATGCCACCAAATATAGAAAACTATCCCAACTTTTTGCAGGCACCACGTTTCATCTAAGTGAACATACTAAATGTTGTAAGCCACTTACAGCTTTTCAGAGTAAATAGAAATTTGCTATGCTCTAAAAATCGGCCTAGACAGCGCCTAGGAGCTAGGCGGTGCCCGGGCGCTTCGATTTGAACAAATCGGCAGAAAAAATAGGTCAGGCGCCTAGGCGGCCTAGGAGCTCCTAGGCGGACTTGGCGGGCTCGGCTGCCAGGCGGTTAGGCGGGCGGACCTAAGCGCTCATAGGCGGGCTTAGACGCAATTTTTCAATTTTTTTTAATTTTTTTAAATACTAAAACATTATTTTGTTATCTTGTTTTCTTTAAAATATACTAGAATTATTATTTAGACTTAGGTGTGTCGATTTATTATAAGTTGAGATAGTTTTATTTTGTAGGGAGTTAAAATAAATAGAAAATAAGGTATTTCATATTGATTTCTAAGCCCCGCCTAGGCGCTCTAGGCGCTAGGCGCTGGTCGAGCGCCTAGCGACTTTTAGAACACGTTTGTTGCCCAAAATAGATAAACAGAAAATTGATGCAACAAGGTGTATAACAAAATAAAATAAAGACAACAATTGTCTTCACCATCTAATTCTGAAGAGCTACTTTGACCAATAAGCAATGAGGAGTCCCTCGTATTCTTATAATAACAAAAACACAAAGTAGGTTTTTTCATGCGCATTACCGTTATATCACAAAAAAAAGGAGTCATAAAAATCAATGCTACCACAAAAGGACTTCACAACCAGCAAAAGGGGAAATGCAATCCGTTGAGCTGATCATTAGAACTTCAACCATATACAAATGCCCGAAAATACTAACCTTCGGAAATACAAGGCCGGGTCCCCCAGTTGAGCTGATCATTAGAACTTCAACCATATTCTCATGCGTGCCATCACCATTTTCTTTCACGTTCCTATATCTGAAGGGAATACATCTGGAAAATGACTGCTGATTAGAACAGGTACTATGTGATGAATTCAGATCCTAATCAATTGGTCCCATAACCGAAAAGAAAGATAAATGCTCGGGAGTCCAACTAGAACCCCAAATACCAAATACAAATATTTGAACAAGAATACTAATCAATGAGATAAACCCAAAGTAAATTAACCAATCGCATATGCTTCACATTGAAAGTTCCATGCACAACTACCATAAGCACACCATTGTTGAAGCACACAAATGAAGAACCAAACTAGCTATCTTCCTTCCACCAAACTTCCCTTTTCACACACCATTTTGTCAATGGTGGCGTGCTAATTCATATCTATAAATAGGCTACTCATTTCATTCATTCAAATCATCCAAGAGTGTGATCAATCAACCTTGAGAGTGTTGAAACACAACCAATAATGAGTTGTGGAGTGTTTGAAAGTTTTTTGTTTAGAGTTTGTAAATCTCTTGTTTTTATTCTTGTGAGTAATAGAAACTTGTTTTTCTCTCCATGTTTATGATCTTGGGATGATACCACTTGCCAAGTTTGAAGCATTTATGCTTATTTTCGAAATTTTTCGAGGCTCTGTAGAAATTTCGAGTTTCTGCGCTGTGCTCGAAATTCAATTCCGAGGACACCGTTAGATTCGTCTCGTCGAGACGGTCGCGGTGATATCTTACGGGCAGAAAACGGACACCGGAGCTGCCCCGAAAAGCCTTCTGAAGTTCTGA